GAGATATAATTATTATGCTAGTTTAGGTTTGAAAGCTACAAGTTTGACTTATCCATCCTGATTATTACCACATTTCAATAAAAATACACTTAAAATCTAGGCTGCACTTTAGACCAATAAAATTTTAACAGACTTCTTAAATAATCAGCTTTTGAATTAAACAGCCATAAAAAAAGCCTCATTTCACTTAAGCAGCACAAATCAAGGTATGATTAGCTGTTCAAAGCATAATTATTCACACTAAAATAAATCTTGCTGCTGTGGACAGCAGCCTTTGACATCAATAATGATAACTGAAGAGGCAAATTCCGTTGAGACAGTTCTGCTGTTATTTCAGTGTGCTTAGGTATTAGAGAAAAAACCCAAAGTGTACAGCTCATGGGTTATCATATATTTCAAGGTCACTCATTCAAATCCAAATAATGAGAAAAAGTTATTATTTTTGAAAGGTGATAGATCATATGGAACAAGTCTTAATGTATTGACTACTACCAAGTGTTCCAGTGAGAACATGCATCATGTCAGATAGCAATTTGATTAGCAGCAAAGGAAAAATATCAAAAGAGTAAATGGAAGTGGAGTATACACTACAGTTTTTACATATGCTACACAAGGAAGCTACTCCATAAATGCACAGAATTTGGTGAAATCAGCTATACATCTGTTAACAATAAAGTTATTGAAACTACTTATATGAATTGTAAGCTGGAGTAAAAGCATCAATCATCTCTACTAACTTCAGTGCAGCTGTAAGAGCGTTTATCAGGATAGGGATTTGCCCCATGATAGCTGACAGTTTAATAAAGACAAACATCCAGTGGAGGAAAAGAAACCATTACAAACAATAACTTTAGATCTTGTATTTACCAGAGAGAGAACAAATCCCTGATTCACAGAGATGCACTTAACTAGAGGGGAGAAAAAACACCACCAACAAAAACAACCACCACAAAACCAGAAATAAAGAGTAGAGAGCTGTTAAAGGAAAGGACTGGGAAAAGAGAAAGACAGCCAAAGAAAATAAAGCGTGTGAAAAGTATACAGGGAATTTTCAATCTAAAAGAGAGATTGAAATTTAAATTTGAGGAAGGAAAATATAGGCAATTTTGAGTCCACAATTGTTAGCTACTTATTAATTGAGAAGATGTGTCTGAATTTATCAAGCAGAAACCACTAAACTTGCAATAATAAATTATTATCTAAAGAAAACTATAATTCAGAAAACACTACAAATAAATTTAAGAAAACTTGCCTGAAAACCGAGGAGTTTTTCACTAGGCTTAATATGTCTCTGAAATTCACATTCCACTGGTTGTATTACTTTGATGCCATCTTCATAAAAAACATAAAACATGTTTCCAATTCCCAGACCTTAGGAACAAAAACACATTGAAATGTATAAAATTAAATGACAGAAAAGAAAATCTTTGTCTTGAACTAAAAACCTAATCACATTTTTAGTACAAGATCGATTTATTAATGCTTATAGTGCTAATATAGCTAAACCTATGGGAGCTTTTGTTGTAAAACTAGAACAAAACGGCTACATTATTCAGATTTTTGCATAGTTTTCTCCATTGGCAAGACAGTGTCTTTTTGAATACAGATATAGAAATATATAGTTTGATAGCTGCAGTAATGATAGTGATCTTGTGAAATCATCTACACTAAAACCAAATTAATAGAAATTCTCCATGTATTCTCATTTTTCTTTTTCTGAGGGTTGGAAGAGTCAAACTAATTTCTGTATGACATTGAAAAAGAAATTCTGAATCTTTATTATAAACTCTTATTTGATATATCTTTCAGTCAGAAAAGAAAATATTCTCTATTGTATTTTATCAGAAAGCCAGAGTTGGGGAGATGCTAATTCCATGTTTGAAGGGCCACAAATATTTAGAGAACTATTCAGTCCTTTTACCACGATGTGGTTGAATGAGAAGCATGATGTAATATTTTGTGGAGAAGGTGGGAACAAGATCTGTAGCATGAACTCTCATATCTGTGGGGTCATGCTCACGACCACAAAAAATTACATTCTCCTTAGTTTACCATGTGCCAATGAAGGCAACAGTTGTTGATTTGCTATGTGGATGCTATCATGGATGATCAGTTCATATTTGTAAAACTGTATAAAGAAAATCACAGTACTCATAAAATTACCATTATAACCAACTCTGACAGCTAGACTGTGGGCTACAATGATAAAAATGTACATGTATCTCGGGTACAGGGCATAAGCTCCCACTTGACATAACAATATTTGGTATAGGAACACAGGGGAATCAAGCTCATGAAAAATAAGTTTCATTCTGAAGTTCTGCTTATCCTAAATTCTGAAGGAAAACATGTTAATAGAGAGGGAACACATCTTTGCATCTAATAAAATAATGAGAACATTAAGGGTGGGGGAGGCAAGTGTGTGTTTGTCTATAGATGTATGTATGTACACATATACATAAAAGTTCCCAGTCCTTGTTAGGAATCAGATAGGTAATACAGTGATTTGAAAGCTAGTAATATGCACAAGGTTGTGAGACCACGCCCAGAACAAACAAGTTCAACTATCTTTGAGAAATCTTGTGGAATCATTTCCCACTTCTGGCCAAGATTTCCTAAAAAGAAAGATGGACAATCTTCTAGCAGGGTTTTCCTCTGGCCAATGGGTACATTTGTACGCCTTTGCAGGTAAATCATACAGCCTATGTAAGATAGTATGTCGAGGTCTTTCTTTAAAAAACACCTGACATTGCATCTTATAAGAACAGCTGGGATTTGTAGATAAGTCTGACTGAGGTTAGGCTACTAGTGAACACAGTGTAGAGATCTATAGCTGAGCAACTGGCTTATTGTGTCTTGTGGTAAATATGTGGAGCTGGCTGGGAACAAAACAAGGTTTTCCCTTCTCTCTGATCTCATTGACTAAAGTATATTATAGTTATTAGCAGGATAAGTAATACCAGAATGGGAGAAAGTAAATCAGCTGATAGCCCCAAGTGATACAGATACTTGATAAACAGAGTCCTAAAACTTCCTCCTCAGTTGCCAATACTCCAAGGCAGGCTTTTCAATGTACAGGAAATAATCGTGTATAGTAACCCAGCCCAGACTTTGAAGGCATTATTTCCAATGTCTGGATAAAAACGTTCAACAAACTGTTCTTCAAAATCAGGAGGAGACACAGTAAGAAATATCCTTCTTCCATTTCAACACTGTTGAGGGAAGTCAGTTCATATAAGGAACTTTTCATACCTTTTCATTCCAATGAAATAATCCCCCCTTCCAAGTTATTATGACCCCAAAACTCTTCGTTTGAGCATGTGCCTACAAATGTCTAATCTATACAAATATATAATCGCTTAGGCAGGTCACTTCTTCACAGGAGCAATTCTGAAGACATCTAACCTAATTACGCAACCCTTACATACTAAATCAAAAACATCCCAGCTCATTTGTAATACAGTGCCAGAAGCAACAACAATAAATGCAAATATATTTGCTTCATTTAAGCTGAACCTATATTTAAAACAAGTTAATGTTGATTTGAAAAAAATGTTGGTGCTTTTGGGTTTTTTTGCATATATATTAATATATGGATAATTTATGTGTGTATGTATATTGTATTATTATTCTAATACAAATCAATGTCCCTTCAAAATACTTTCAGATATTCTGACACATATTGTTTTTACACTTACACAAGCAAGCAGTTGTGGTAAGGCTTTTGTGTACCACATACACAAGTATGCATTGCAGGCACTAAAGCCTATCTGTGGTTTCACGATCTTAATTTCATATTAATCACCCATCCTTCCCTTACTATCTGTTAAAACTTACGATAAAAGAAAATGACAGAGCATGCATGGCCCAGAGAAGTTAGTGGTGACGCTTATTGGCATTTCAGGGTATTGCTCTCTTGTAAACTAATTTGGACGCTGCAACCAGTAACGGTATTTGTTGGAAATACAAGGATGGGCCAATGAGAAACACAGGAGAGAGCAAGAAAATCTGCTCTAGAAGATGATATTGACACTTCACATTCTCAATCTCTACTATAAATTGCTTTCTGTATAGTATCACAAAAGTCACAGAGAAATTTGAATGTCTCTACCATAAGCAGTCTGGCAAGCTACTATTTTTAACTGGACTTTATTGTTACAGAATTTAAACTTTCCTAAGTGCTTTCTAACCACTGAAAGCAACACAAGACTTGACTTGAAAAGACAATCCCCCCAAAAATCAAGGGGATGTCAATCATGTTTTCAGTTTTATTCAAGACAAACACAAGATAAAACACAACTAATACCTTCCCAATAAGTGGTGAGAATACCACAAGTCTGAAAATTTTGGTGTTAGAATCTTGTGGTGCTTCAGTTTAATTGTTAACAGTGGATATATATAAAACTCTGAACACATTATTTGTAGTCTGCAAGGCCATAGAGCAGGAGGATCACAGCTGAGCACTACTATAATCAGGGAACTGATTGTTTGTACCAGCTGAGCAGCAAATAAAACAGGAATATAAAAATCAAACTAGTTCATATTTGCAGGCATGCTGGGAAATGCCAAAGTTTACTATGTAATTAAGCAAATAAAATATCATATTTTAAATCTTTCCATTAATTTAAAATAAATCTTTAAGAAACATGCAGAATTACCATTTACAGCATGAATTCATAGCAAAGCCTGATCCACTTACAGTATTATCAATCTTCCAATGGAAATAATTGAAACAATTTCCTAATCCAGAAATACATTAATTCCTAAACTGCAACTCTAAACTAAGAACAGGCTGCTTAGAGCAATGAAATGAGAGCTCATGACAATACTTGGTTTATGATCTTTTTCTGTAATATACTTTATGAGATTAACTCATACATATGAAAATTAATACCTCTCTGTCAGTAAAATGTATTTTCTATGCTTTCTATGTTACTAACACCTGAAATTGTCTGTATTTATACTTATCCTTCAGTTGGTCACAAACCACAAACCTCCATTCTCCCTCCCAACATGTATTTACAAACCCTTCCTGAGTATAATAAGAAAATACTTTGTCTCATTCAGCAACAACAGGTACCTCAAATTTAATTAAACTGTTTAAAATTATAATTTTGTCAAGCAAGAAAGATTCATACAAGAAGATCAATTCCAACAGCATGTAGGCCAATTGGTTGGAAGGTTTGTCATGTCAGCAAACAAACAAAAGTTAAAGGCCTAGTTTTTAAATCTGAACTTCTTGTTGCATCCCTTTGAGTAATTGTCTGAAATATTTGAACAGCTTATTTCTTTCTGTCTCCCCAACAAATAAAGCAGTTCACAAAGGCATGAGCATTTAAAGGATTCTTTTCTGCCATATTTTTTCTTTAAATCAAATCTGTCAAATGTTGCAACAGGGAGAGTAAATACTGTAACTGTAAAGTGTGAACAAAAAATCTCAAAACAAACACACAAAAGGAACAATAGATGAGAATTTCACCATAATATAGAAAATATGAGAAAAGTCATCTGTATTAGTACCTTGCTCTCTCCACAATATGTTTGCAACTGCAGCATGTAAGAGAGAGAAAGAACAGAAAACACAAATAAACAAGAAAAAAAACCACAAAATGATATATCAATTCTGAAATAATTGTGATGCTTTAACCTCTGATTTACTAAAATACTTGTACTGAAAAATCAATGGAAACAGTGAATTAACAATAAGATTACATTAAGTTCTCTATGCTACTTGATGAAACTGTGATTAGTCATCATAGTTATTGGGGTCAGGGTGAATCCCATCACTCCTCATTACACACCCCACCTCCCCCAAGTTAACTCCATTAACCTTTATCGATAGTGTGTTTCATAATCCATTACAAAGAGCATGTGGATTTATGCATATTAATTGCAGATTATGTAATTTCATAACTTCCTTTAAGCAGTGGACTTTGAAGAGATTTATTTCAGAACAGAGTTGTGAGAGAAACATGCAAAACCAAAATAAATACAAGATATTCTTCTATATGGCTGTAACACAACCATGCTACCAAAGTTATCATGCTGTATAATGTTTGACACTATCTTTGGGAGTCTAAGATGTGAACTGTAAGATAGCACAGTAACCAATTAAGTGTTTAAGTTGTTTTTACCATGCAAACATCTTGTTTACAATTGGATTTTAGACCTTTGAGATAAATGGAAACTAATTATCCTATTATTGCTCTTTCTGCCTGGGAAGAATAAAAAGAAAACAAATATAATTCTGCAAATTATAAATATTTAGAGCCCAGCATGCTATGGAATAAATTGTTTAAAACAGCACCACTGAAAACTGAAGTGTTTTGTAAAGTAATGATCTTAAGAAATAGACAAAAATTTAAAGGAAAGGAATAGAACAGAGAGAACGTGTATGTTACACACAGACATAATGACATAATGAAATTGCGATGTTCATTGATACAGTGTTGCAAAAGCTAAAAACATTAGCATGCTTTTAAAAAAAGTTTGGAAAAAGTAATGGAAGACATATTATTAAAATGATGGTACACAAAAGTCCCTCAACTGCTGACTGTTCGAGGTTGAGAATAAGAAACAGACAGAACAATCCATCCAGAAAACTCCTGGATACTATGATTTTCTGAAGCATCTTTTACTGGGCACTGCTGAAGACAGGACCAAGACGGGCTTTTTTTGCCTTATACAGTGCAGCATTTCTCTAATTCTTGAGCTCTGAAAGAATATACAGAGCTCCAAACATGTAGAAGGGTCGTTGAAAAAAGTGACAATCTACTTTTCTGAGAAGTTCGTGATTCAGAGGCTTAGGATGAGCTACTAGGCTTTTGGTTTTTTTTTTTTTCCTCTCTCCTCTCTCCTCTCCTCTCCTCCTCTCCTCTTTTCGTCTCCTGACTTTTTTCACAAGTTCTTTCAACAGAGCTACCTCATTATGTGACCTCAGACACAGTATTTAAACTGTGTCATTCAGTTACCCTTAATAAAATGAAGTCAATGGTTACTTTTTACCTTCAGTGCTTTGAATTGTGCAAAAGAGAGATCCCCATATAAGTAGAAAGTAGCAGTAATACTGCTGAAGTAAGTGATGCTGAATACTGGAATAAAAATGTTCCCCTTTCCCAAGACAGAACATCAGTGCAGCTTTCAAACATGCTCAGTCTGTGTTTTATTATCTTTAAACCAGCTTAATTCTCTAGACTATTATATATGTGCATTGTTTTCAGGTATCATCCTTGCATTTGCTTTAATATTCAAACACTTAGGATCCAATAAACTGCCAAAAGCCAAGATTAATGGAGTGTGCCATCTTGTCACTTAGTCAGGCTGAGTAATAAACATTTACAAGAGGAGGAAGAATTTCTGTTGAACTGCTGCTAAGGTCAAAATGGAGTCAACGTGTTTTAAATTTATTTCTCAATCGTCTGCCTTTATACTTGCTCTTCAGATTCCACATTGTTACTTTCAGAAGAGCATAGCTTCAAAGAAAGTCTTGACTACATTTGCTGAGTACATGTCCTCCAGACATCCAGCTGCTCTGAATGAAACTTGGTGACTAAATTGCTAACACCAGTATAACTCTTAGATTTACACCCGATGCTGAGAGCTCAAACTAGATTTGGTTTACTGTATACTTCAGTAGCAGACATGAACAGAGTATTTAACATGTCTCTTCTAAATAATGTTTGTCTGCTTATGTTTCAACTATTTGATTATTCTCCTAAACTAGACCTCTAACTATAACTTGTAATCATAAGATGGAATATGTTCGATGTTTTATTGACAGCAATTATATTTAAATACAGACCTAATCAGTAGATCATCAGTACTGCAACTACAGAAAGAATGGATTGCAAGGTTTAAGAGATCCTGAATTATTTTAGTTTAGATGAGAAGAAAAAGGTGTTGTTTTGTATAAAACAAACATTTAAGAGAGAACTATATCCTTATGGCTTTAGAGCTACAGAAAACATTTTTTTTCACTGCAGAATGAAAGCAACTGAAGTCTCCCCAAAGACACGCTGTGCCCATAAGGTGAAGAAATTGAGACAATATAGTACTGTCCTTCCCATCAACTAAATACGACACCTGCTTTGTGAGCACTATGCAGTCAAGTCATTCAGTATAAACACTGACAACCTCAAAGACGGAATGCTAAGGTGTTTATGTTTCTTTCCCTTTGTCGAAGTATTAAATAGGTCATTTGTACCTTGACAGATAGGAGGAGGAAAGAAGTTGCCCTGGAGTATGCTGCAGGTGACTGGCTTCTGTGTGGAATTAGTGGCACTGATCACAAACTGGCAGTTTTCAGCCAGTTTTCAATTCAGTCCACTGTCTGTGTATCTAGTCTGTACTTCACCAGTTTGTCTATGGGAGACAGTGTCCAAAGCATTTCTAAGGACAAGATAAACAACATCTACTCCTCCCCTCATCTACCCTGCCAGTTACCTGATTGCAGAAGGCTGTCAGGTTGACTAGGAATTATTTTCTCTTGTAAAATCCATGCTGACTGCTCCTAAATACCTTCTTGTCCTTCATGTTTTGAGGAATGGTTTCCAGCATTATTTGCTCCATCATCTCCTTCCCAGGGATCAGGGTGAGGCTGATGGCCTAACATGTCTTAGATTCTCCTTCTTGCCCTTCTTGAAGAGTGACACTAGCTTTCTTCCAGGCTGCATTAACCTCCCCTGATCATCATGATGCTTCAAAGATTATCAAGAGTGGCCTTGCAATGCCGTGGGTGAACTTGCAAAGAATTTGTGGGTGCATCCTATACAGACCCTTTGAACTGTGAATGTCCAGGTTGTTTAAATGGTCTCTAATCTGATCCTATCCATCATGGGTAAGGCTTCCTTGCCAGAGGAAAACCTTCTTCCCAGAATTTCCTGCTGGTCTCACACTCCTGGGGCCAGTTTGCCAGTAAAGACTGATGTGAAAAAGACACAACTTGGCCCATTCCATGTCCTTTGTCACCAGGTCCCTTGCCCCACTCAGCATCAGGTTCATATTTTCCGTAGCCGCCTTTTTTTGCTGCTGAAGTCTCTGTAGAAGCCAATCTTTTGCCCTTTATGTTGCTCACTAGATTGAGATCCAAGTGGGTTTTGGAACTCCTAACTTTATCCCTGCATGCGCAGACAGTGGCTCTATATTCAAATGACAGGTCTGTGTTTATCTATGTCATCTTATATAGTCTTTTTTCTGTAATAAAGCAAATTAATTTCCCCAGGGAACCCTGGAGGATTTTCTTTAAAATTAGATTTCTCTTCATATTGTGAGGAAAAAGCCACATATTATATGGCACTTGAAGTCCCGTAAACGTAGCCATAAATTTCTACTTTTTATCAGTCTTTTTTCTAGGGGTGACATAGCAAAGAAAATAAAAAGTAATTACAATTATTCAACTGTGTGGAACCACACAGCATCAAATTAAATGATTTAAGATGCTAAGTACAGAACACATTAATTTGTGTTAATGCAAAATGATACATATGGTTCTGAGCTTTGGTTAAAAAAAAAAGGAGGGGGGATTAAAAAAGTGCTTTAAAAGCCCCACACTTATTAATTCTAAAATTAACAAATCAGTGTGAAGAAAAATGAGACATCATTAAAGACTCCAATATAAAAACACAAAAAACAGCCATCACCTCACCTAATACAGGCCAAGAAAACTCACTTATTTTTTTAATCAGTCCTATAACTTTTATTCAAGGAAGATGTCCAGTCCTAAGATAAAGACTACAATGCTGGAACAAGTGCAACATCTGTAGTGTATGTTACATATGCTAAGGATCATAGTGTTTACCCTCCTTTTTGGTTAAGCAAAAATTAACATCTTCAGCCACATCCTATATTGAATTCTCACACATTTATAAACTTCAAGATGTAAAAATACGTAATTGTTGATAGATCTCTTTTATCATAATCTATGGATAAAGTTTTCTGGTTTTAAGACAGAACACTACCATCTTCTCTTGTTCTCTGTTTCCCTGATTCATAAAAAGAAGTGTATTCAGACGACATAGTTATGAAATAATATCAGGAGATGTACAGGGAACCTTGCAGAAGACATTGTATTCAAGGAGTTAGTGGCCTTGAGCAGGCTGTCTGCTTCGTTGGACCTTGTACTCAAGGCTTGAGAAGCCTGTATGTTAGCATGGGTAGCTGCTGAAAGGGTATATGCTGGAATGCCCATAAAAGCCTGTGCTGCACACTGGTGGGTGTCATGACAGTGATAACATTGCAACCTGTCAGAAGATATATATTTGTTATACAAGATAAAAGCCACCACAGTATGGGAGGGAAAGGGAACCGCTCCATGGACAGGATCTGTGCAGTGGGCTGTAGGAAAACCCATCCAGCGTTCATTTGATGTCGCATGAATGTGGTGTGCCCAGCATCTTCAGGGATGTAAGATTTACTTTCTATCTATATTCCTCCTTTTATTCTGTCTTATCAAAACAGGTATTTTATTACACCATTTGGGCATTTTATATTGACATTGAAAAAGAACCCTGCACTGTGTCTCTCTCTCCCCCCCCCCACCCAGTGCAGAA